GGTCAAAAGACTCACGTTTCCGAGATGTCTGCATAGCGACCAACATCAGCCTTGCCAAACTTCAACCCAGCGCACGTATACCTGAGGAGAGAGATGGAGGGTGAGAGAGATGAGGATAGATTGGGAGAATGAGCATATAAGAGGGCAAGTGACACAGCATGGGTGAGGGAAAATATTGGCACATTGCCAAAGTCATAGAGTCATCCATGCTGACCAGATATCCTCAATTAATCTAGTCCCATTTGCCAGCATTTGGCCATTATCACTCTAAATCCTTCCTATTCATGTCCCCATCCGGATGCCTTTTAAATGTTGTAACTGTACCAGCCTCCACCACTTCCTCTGGCAGCTCATTCCATACACACACCACCCTCTGTGTGAAAAAGTTACCCCTTAGGTCCCTTTTAAATCTTTCCCCTCTCACCTTAAACCCTCTAGTTGTGGACTCCCCTACCCTGGGGAAAAGACCTTGGCTATACACTCTATCCATGCTCCTCATGATTTAATAAACCTCTATAAAGTCATCCCTCAGCCTCCTACACTCCAGGGAAAATAGCCCCAGCATATTCAGCCTCTTCCTATAGCTCCAACCCTCCAACTCCAGCAACATCCTTGTAAATCTTTTCTGAACCCTTTCAAGTTTCATAACATCCTTCCCATAACAGGGAGACCAGAGTTGAACGCAGTATTCCAGAAGTGGCCTAACCAATGTCCTGTACAGCCGCAACATGACTCTCCCAACTCCTATACTCAATGCACTGACCAATAAAGGAAAGCGTACCCAACACCTTCTTCACTACCCTGTCTACATGCAACTCCACTTTCAAGGAAATATGCACATGCACTGGTAGGCCCTTTGTTTGGCAACAGTCCCCAGGGCCCCGCAATAAAGTGTACAAGTCCTATGTTGGCTTGTGCCAGCGAGGGACAGACCGCCTGAGAGAGAGCACGTGGGTCAGAACACAAGAGGGTGGGAGCATGTGAGTGGGAGAACGCAAGAGTGCACGTGTGCAAGTGTGTGCTGGGGAAATGAAAGGAGAGCACAAGAGGGAGACAGAGAGATCAAGAGTGGGATGGTGGGGCAGGGTGGAAGCAAGAAAGAGATCAATGAAAAGAGACAGTCAAAGAGAGAGTGCAGGCGACACAGCGTACGAGAGTGCACAGAATACAGTATGGGCAACAGAGCGGGCGAGCAACAGCAAAAAGGGGGCGAGCCAGTGAGCGAGAGCGCGTGCCACAAAAGAGTGAGTAAGGGACAGCAAGCGCTAAACCAAAGAGAGCAAGCAGAAGAGAGTGCATAGGGCAGACAGCGCAAGAGTGAGCATGATAGACAGTGAGCATGGAAGCACACACAACACAGGGGTGTGCATGTGACAGTGTGTGCAAGAGCCGGGCAGAGAGTGGGAGAGTGGTGGGGAGAACACACACAAGCCAGATGCATGGGGTAAGTGAGCGGGAGAGGACAGCAAACAGTGGAAAATAAACGGGGAAATAGAACTGTAATCAGCTCCTGGAGACTAAGTTAAATGATTCCCACAATGACCATGGCCGCCTTTAATCTCCCATTCCCATCCCTCTCCGTCTCTCGGCCACTGACAGCCCTCTCTGCCTTGGTCTCGCTGACCCTCAGCCCTCAGTTCTAGGTTACCCCCACCCATTGCTGACACCCTCTGGCACTGCCCACGCCCGCCCCCCACTGTCAGGTCAGAGCCACCTGCTCCCTCACAGCCCGAGAGCCCCACTTACTTGAGGGAGAGGTCTGCGTAGACAGGAGCGAACGACTGACATTCTGGCGACCAGTTGGCAAAGAATTCGACCAGCCAGATCACCCGGTTGTCTCTCTGCAGCTCCTCCTGCCAGCGGGGGAAAGGGAGTGTGTGTCAGACACAGCCGAGTCTCTGCATCATTCTCATGTTCCGCCCGCCTGCAAGGCATTGAAATGGTACGATATACACAGACACCCTTGCTCACACACACAGACACAGGCACTCGCCCACACAGACACACACTCACCCACACAGACACACACACTCACCCACACAGACACACACACACACCCACACACACACCCCCACACAGACACAGACACACACTCACCCACACACACACACCCACACACACACACGCTCACACAGACAGAGACACACACACACAGACATAGACACATACTCACACACTCACTCACACAGACACACGCTCACATACAGAGACACTCCCGTACCCATCCAGGAATATCCCAGGTGGTTTTAGTGTACGGTAACCCACACAAGGGACTGTACTCAAGTTCTCCCAGTTCAGCCTCCTGGTTCACATCTTTTCCCGTTCAACAACCACGGCACCACAACAACCCAAGACAGATTGCCGTTTGCACAACAACTTTATTTCAAAATTCTCCGTCCACATACTCGTGGCTCAGGGGTTAGTGCAGCTGCCTCACGGTGCCAGGGACCCGGGTTCGATCCCACCCTCGGGTGACTCTCTGTGTGGAGTTTGCACATTCTCTCTGTGTCTGCGTGGACTTCCTCTGGGCCCTCCAGTTTCCTCCCACAGTCCAAAGATGTGCAGGGTAGATGGATTAACCGTGCTAAATTGTCCACGGATGTGCAGGTTAGGTTGACTGACCGTGGGAAACGAATGGTTACGGGGATGCTTTGGAGAGGAGCTGTGGGTCTGGGCAGAACACTCTCCAAAGGGTCAGAGTGACTCGATGGGCCGAATGACCTGTGTCGACACTGTAGGCATTCTATGATTCTTGCATCCAGTACTCCAGACATACCCAGCCCCTACACCCCCTCCCTATCTCTGTAACCCCCTCCAGCCGCTACACCCCCTCCCGATCTCTGTAACCCCCTCCAGCCCCTACACCCCCTCCCTATCTCTGTAACCCCCTCCAGCCCCTACACCCCTCCCTATCTCTGTAACCTCCTCCAGCCCCTA